TCGCGAGTTCACACCTCGAAGATGTCATTCTGGCAAACCCAGATAAGGATAACTTCCTTGTGCCTTACTTTCCCGAGTAAGTCATCCCTTAACCGCCCCGTAACATATGATTTCTTAGATTTCGATCGTTCTTTTTTTCTAACATTCCGTGTTCTGTGCAGTGACACACATTGCACACTCATCCTCTTAAGCCCGAAATATTCCATGGCCACGTATTTCGACCCGAATCGTAACTCCAAGATAGACTACACAAATATCAAGAAAGTTCTTGATGATGTTCTCCCTGGCTACGCCAAATCTGGAGGCACCTTCATCAGGGCAGTTCGTAAGTACGGCAAGCAAGTGTTCACCCACAATATGACGTTCTGATGCGTCAAGCAGCCGCCTGGCGGTCAGAAGGATGCCTACTACACCCTCCATCACATGCGGGCGATCGTAAGGGGCCATCATCACCTTCTGCTACCAAATAATCTCAAAGATTGGGCTGCGAGCTTGTCGGCAATCCAGGATGCGGACATCAGACAAGAATTCTTTCGCATCCAGTCGGAGTTTGCGGACATCATCCATCAAGATGTCCTTCATACCTCGGGGCAGTTCTTCCTCAGATATCAACCGTCCAACATTGAGATAGACGGAATGCTACAAATGCAGGCTGACAACGCCCGCGATTTCATGACCATCACGACAGACGGCGGCTTCATCCACGCTCATGTCCATGAGTCGAGTCGAAAGTAGTGATGTGTAGTTCTGAAACATTGATTGGCTCATGTTGTAGTTAAACTTTAATGAATTGTATGTCTCTTTGGTTTGGACAGTCGTTCAACTTAGATGCAATCGATGCTATTTATTAGTAGGACCATGAATCATGCTATTAATGTCTTGCTTTTCTCTTCCGATCCTTTTGTTGCATACTTATATATTGCTTATGTATGTATTGTCTGTTGTTTGGCTTGTGCATAGAGATGCCGTCGTATGTCGTGTACAAGGGTAAGGTTCCCGGAGTCTACGACGACTGGGAGGAGTGTCGGAGACAGGTTCACCGTTTCAGCGGTAACAGTTACAAAGGGTACACCACTAGGGCGGAGGCCGAATCTAGATACGCCCGCTATCTAGCGAGAGAGAGGAGGGAGCATTGGTGGAACCGGATGAAGACCAGTTTGGTCGCGATGATGCTCATCGTGATGACCGCAGCTCTCTTCTATGTGATGGTAGTTTAGATGATTGATATCGACTTGTAATGTGAAGACAAACTCGATACTCGCGGTCTCGAGACTTGTAATGTTTTATCTTTGTTCGGTCTTTTGAATTTGGAGACTAATATGATGAATTGTATTCGGAGACTAATCTTCTATTGTATTCGATGAATTTGTTGTTGCTATGTGCTACTGTCTATATTCTGTCAAATAATATATTTTGTAACCTGCGCAAAAATCAAAAAAGTAAAAAAAAACAAATATTCATACTAATGGTGCATCACCACAAGGTGCGCCATTAGTATGCCAAAGGATACTAATGGCGCATCAATACATAGTGCGCCATTAGTATGCCAAAGGATACTAATGGCGCATCAAGACAGAGTGCACCATTAGTATGCCAAGTATACTAATGGCGCATCTATCCGCAGTGCGCCATTAGTGTGCCAAAGCACATGGTTAAATATGGCCCCTGGGAGGCACACTAATGGTGCATGGTGTTATATACTAATGGCGCACTGGATGGTGCGCCATTAGTATACCAGATACAAATGGCGCACCAGTGGTGCGCCATTAGTAAAAATTACTAGTGGCGTGCTACCAATGGCGCACCGGTGATGCGCCATTAGTAGGCCTTTTCCTAGTAGTGTCGGGAAAAAAGCAAAAGGCGCCAGATCCGGGAAAGAAGCGAAAGGCGCCAGAGCCGCTGTTGAAGGTATGAAAAACGAGGTTTGTTTTCTGGGACTTGCCGTACTAGAAGATTCACCGTGTGCCTCACAGCCTTGATGCCATGCATATCACGAAGAACGTGTGCGAGAGTCTGCTTGGTACCCTGCTCAACATGCCAGAGAGGACCAAAGATGGGCCGAAAGTAAGGGCAGACTTGAAATCAATGGGCATCAGGCAGGAGCTTCACGCTAATGATGATGATGATGATGATGATGATGATGATGATGATGATGATGATGAGGCGAAGCAGGACACAGAAACTCATCGCAAAGGCAAAAAGGCCAAGAAGACCGGAAGTGACTACCCTCCTGCGTGCTTCATTCTAAGTCAGGAGGAGATTGAGCAGTTTTTCACCTGCCTCGTAGGAGTGAAACTTCCTTACGGTTACGCGGGGAAGATAAGCAGATACCTAGACCCAGCGAAGCAGAAGTTCAGTGGGATGAAGTCTCACGACTGTCACGTGCTGATGACGCAGATACTTCCAGGTGCAATCCGTGTGATCATGGACGCACACGTCCGTGAAACGCTATTTGGCCTATGCAACTTTTTCGATGTCATCTCTCGGAAGTCGATTGGCGTGAGGCAACTCAGAAGGCTACAGGAAGAGATCGTGGTGATACTATGCGAGCTTGGGATGTACTTCCCGCCCGCATTCTTCGACGTTATGGTGCATCTGCTGGTCCATATCGTGGAGGATATCATCCAACTCGGGCCGACGTTCCTGCACAGCATGATGCCGTTCGAAAGGATGAATGGTGTCATCAAAGGATACATTCACAACATGTCACGTCCAGAGGGAAGTATAGCCAGGGGCTTTCTGACCGAAGAGTGCATCTCCTACTGCACGAATTATCTAGGCATCGAGAACCCTGTTGGTCTGCCCGTCAACAAGCACCTCGGCAGGCTCGCTGGATGGGGTCACCGTGAGGGTCGCCGCGAAATGCATGTCGACTTCGAGGGTCGACTCGCCGACTTTGAAAGAGCAAACCTAGTCGCGCTACAACACATAGACATGGTCGATCCTTGGGTGGTAGAGCACAAAACCTTTATTGAGAAGACGTACAATGACCGAGGCCAACAGAGGACGGACGGAGATATAATCAAAGAGCACAACTCATGTTTCACGCGTTGGTTCAAGCAGAAGCTTCTGTAGTACCCTTTACATGAGGATTCTTCCGCGGAAGAACAACTCATATTCACCTTGTCACAGGGCGCCGAGCACAACCTGATGACCTATGAGGCGTACGATATCAACGACTACACATTCTACACCGAGGACAAGGACATGAAGAGCAATGGTTATCAGAACTCCGGGGTAATGATGGAATCCTACACCGGTAACGACAAGGACAGATACTACGGAAGGATCGAGGAGATCTGGGAGCTGAGCTACGCTGGAGAGAAGGTCCCGATGTTCCGTGTCAGATGGGCCAAGAGCGTCCTAAAAGAAGACCGGTATTTCACCACCATGGTTATACCCGAAGCCAAATCCAAGACCGCGGGTGCAAACGTCACCGCGAAAAATGAGCCATAGGTACTGGCTTCCCAAGTGGACCAATGCTTCTTCATTACCGACCCGTCAAAGCCCAGTCGTGTTGTCGTGAGGAGAGGCAAAAGGAAGATCATCGGAATGAATGGAGTAGCCAATGAGCAAGACTTCGACAAGTACGGAAGATCATCGGAATGATGAAGACCAGTTTGATCACGATGATGCTCATCGTGATGACCGCATCTCTCTTCTATGTGATGGTAGTTTAGATGATTGATATCGACTTGTAATGTGAAGACAAACTCGATACTCGCGGTCTCGAGACTTGTATTGTTTTATCTTTGTTCGGTCTTTTGAATTCGGAGACTAATATGATGAATTGTATTCAGAGACTAATCTTCTATTGAATTCGATGAATCTGCTGTTGCTGTGTGCTACTGTCTATATTCTGTCAAATAATATATTTTGTAACATGTGCAAAAATCAGAAAAGTAAAAAAAACCAAATATTCATACTAATGGCGCATCACCACATGGTGTGCCATTAGTATGCCAAAGGATACTAATGGCGCATCAAGACAGAGTGCGCAATTATTATGACAAAGCAGATGGTTACATATGGCCCCGGGAGGCATACTAATGGCGCATGGTGTTACATACTAATGACGCACTTCCTGGTGCGCCATTAGCATACCAGATACTAATGGCGCACGAGTGGAGCGCCATTAGTAAAAAATTCTAGTGTCGTGATACTAATGGTGCACCGGTAGTGCGCCATTAGTAGGCAAAACCAATGCGCCATTAATAGACCTTTTCCTAGTAGTGGACTGCTCTTCTGCAACAGCTGGACTCTTCTCCAACGTGGCTACGCACTACTATTTTCCCAACGATTTCCGAAATAGATGACCTCCTCCACAACATGACACTCGGTGATGGTGCTGCGATTGGAAACGTCTCTTCTTCCACCCCGCCGTATATTTTCATATCCCCTCTCTTAGGGCTTGTCTCTCAATATTTCTTACAAGCAGTTGATCTAGGCATGGTATCGCAATACCAGATTGCATGTCTAGTATGTTTGTTTGTTCGAACATCATGTTTAACCAGCTCATCATGATTTATCAATCGCATATCTAGATTTATTTCTATGAAAAATTGCTCCAATATTCAACAAATAGTATGGTCATCCATGATAATCTTTGCTGCAATTTGAACTGATATCTAGTCAACATTTTTTTTAAAAAAAGGGTCAAAGTATGAAAGATGAGCATGAATATTTTATAATGTGTCATACATGGTGAACAATACTTGATCATTTCAGGATGATCATAGCGTACAACTCGAAGAAGTACTAAATGTAAAACAGTCCAGTAAATAAATATTAAGCTTCAGCTCACACAAAGATATAGCACACAAAATACTTGTCAAAATGGAGATACAGCAAACAAAACAAGGATCAAATGGGCTTATTTTGTCGGCCATAGGTCAAAGGCCAATATATAGATATGCCCCCAGTGCAGCTCAAACGGCGGTAGATAAATGGAGGCTCAAGCAGCTAGCCCATGGATCGAGCAAACAAGTCCGGTAGGTAGCTCAGCACGCGCCACCGCGGAACCCGACGGCGCTGCCGCCGACGTTGTAGAGGACCTCAATGGTTCGCTGCTGGACGTTGCCGATGATCCCGGTGGAGCCGTCTCCACCTCCGGTGGAGGCAAAAGCGAGGCAGCTGTTGAAGAGAATCCCGGACGGGTCGAGCTCCACAGCGGCGCCGCCGTTGCTCTGGCTGTCGAACACCAGCGCGACCTTCGGCAGCCTCACGGTGCGGACGCTGGTGAAGTCATAGCAGGTGTCGAGCTGGCCCTTGGGCACGGCAACGCGGTACCCGCCCATTTGGGCCCTGAACGCTGCGCGGAGTGCGCTGTACGCCGTGGGCTGGAGGCGCGTGATGACGGTGCGGGAGTCCATCACCGCGCCCGCGGCGAAGACTGTGGGCGGCACCGCGAGTCGCTGCCCGGCTACAGTGATAGCTTGCAGGCGCACGAGGTAGAGCGACGGGGATAGCTTGCTCCTGAGCATGGGCGTTAGTATGTACCTGGAGGCGGCCACCCTCGGCACGCCGAGGACGAAGAAGCCACGGTGGCTCTCCGTCGGCGGGACGCAGTAGGAGAAGACGTTTCCGTGGGTCTGCTTTGTCTGCGACAACAGCGACTGCACGCCCCGGCCGAGCGCCATGATCCCGGCGGTCGTGTTGCTGAAGACGCCGGGGCGCTGCAGGGCGTGGCTGCACCCGAAGCGGAAGTTATTGACCACACCGGCCGGAGTAGGGGTGAGGGTTAGCACGTCGGAGATGTAGGTGCCGGACGAGGCTGAGCCGTCGCGGTACTGAACGCGGTATTGGCACTGGCCGGAGTTGGGGCCGCCGGTGCAGCCGTTGGCGTAAGGGCCGAGCTGGCGGCAGGTCGGGGAGGTGCAGGGGAAGGTGGCGGATGTAACGGAGTTTCTTGGGTCGTACAGGACGTCCGTCTGAGGGTGGCACTGCGGCTGCGGGCAGGGCGCACACTGCACCCACGGCACGTCACTCGCCGTGTCGATCACCATTCTTTGGGTCACGCCGGGCAGCCTCCCGCTCCCGCCGGTGGCTGCCAGATCAAGCCTAGACAACGACGATGGCGTAGCCGACTGCAATCAATCAATTAATTTCACGATCAACTGATAGTAGAGACAAAGTGCTTGAAATAACTCGTAAATTTTAATTGTGGTTTAGTGATGCTTTGAGGTCAAAGTCAAATCATCATCTCATCGATAAGACACTGCTTCATACTGTATTTATACATAATTACGCAAACTAATTAAAATTACACTAGCGTTTCTCTTAAGTTGCACATGAGTTGTAGCTCACCTGTCCTAGTCCGTTATTTGTGGAGGCGTCGGTAGACATCTGTTGGGTATTGGCTGGCTGAGACGGCGCCAAAGGCTGGGTTTCGCCGATGACCTTTTTCTGGATGTAGCTCGCGCGGTTCCGGTCCCACAGGAGCGCGTCAGGCACAGATGACGGCGGCGCCGTAGTTTCCCCCTCCGAGGAGCACGGGCCATAAGGACGGCTCAGCGGCATCCAGACGCCGCCGGTAAGGTTGCCGCTGGCGCCCGACGGCCTCACTGCATGAAAATCATTAACACATTACAGTTACGTACGTCTACATCAACAACGGGAGTATATATTAGTGATGGATTGATCTAGGCACCCCTGTGGCCTTGGCAGACGGGACTTGGCTCGAGCGATCGAGCTAGTTTCCACGACGACATAGTAGCTGAGCTCGTCGTCGACGCCTGCTGCTGCGGCTGCATGGGCAGTGTCGACGGATGATGATGTAGGAGAGGAGCTAGAGCAGAGAAGCAGCAGCAGTAATGCCACGACGGGAGCCATTAATTGCTGGCTTGGCTAGGTTTGCTAGGGATACCAACTTGTGTGTGATGATGGATGCTTCGTTGCACATGCTCTCAAGTCGTATTATATAGAATAGGCGATCGATAGGGCGGCTTACAACATTCCGCCTGACCTTTGGCCCCATTACAAGTGGAGCATTTCTAATAAAAGCACTCTGCATGTGCGCTGCTACAAAGCTATTAGAAACGAGAGGCGTTTTTTTTTTCAATAAAGGAAATATATTAATGTCACGGAGATATCAATTATGTCAAGAAAAAAAAACAATACGGATGCACACAGCCTAAACACAAGAGAAAAAAAAAGAACCCGCTACATCGATCAAATTCTTGTAGCTGCAGCACGAACCACCACCAAGACAACGCACGAAGTTCAAGTTCTCCACAAGGGACGCCTCCATGAAGGAAACAGTGCACAAGCGCCGTCATCGGTTGATCATAGATCTTAGGTTTTCACCCTTGAGAAAATCCGGGCTCTCAAAACAATGCCTTCAATAAGGACACCGCCAGGCACAACCAACCAAGGCGAGACCTTGGGTTTTCACCCTGAAAGTTAAGATTATGTACTCCACCTGTGATGTCGGCCCCACTTGCCGATGTCGCTGCTATGAGTCACGAATCACCAAGGAAAGTCCTCATCGCCTCGAAGACTCGATCCACCATTACAAGGCCTCAGACCTCTGCCACCATGACGTCCTCCGTCACTATCTTCACCATGGATATCGAAATATATGTTCGATAATCTCAACAAACAACGCAACTTCGTGTCACACCCTCATCAAGCCACTCCGGCTGAAATAGGGGCGCACATAACCTAATCCCATCAATCCAGTAATCTACATGTGTCAAGCACCCAATGGTCATCTCCGACTTGGGCCACCGACTTAGGAGATGATCAAATTAATGATGTTAGTATATACCTTGCATGATTCAGGATAAAAAGGTGCAAAAATACAGTAAGAGGGATGATATAGACATTGAAGAATTTGGTGTGACCGTAGTAGGTCCTTTGAAAGATTTATAGGGAGACAACATTTTGAATTTGGAAAAATGGTAGAATGGGCATTACAATTTATTGACTCTCCTATGGTATGATATAGAACCTGAAAATTTTTGTTGGGAAGAGATAATAAAACAAAAATCATGATTTAAAATTGGAGTCCAATTTCTTGCAATTGTTATTTGTGTCTTCTGCATGAGTTACGGAAGTATGAATTTTATTCAGATCATTATAGAGTGTTCTGTTTTAGATAGATTTTGTTTTCTATTGCATAGTTCGCTTGTTTTGATGATGCTATGGATTATATTGGGGGGTATAAGTCGTGGGGAAGTTAGACTATAGTAGGTAATATGCAAGATTAATTATGAATGAGATTACCAAAGTAATTAAAGTTTATGATTCGTCTATTATACTAATGGATCTCACGAGGTTTCTGTTGAGTTTTGTGTGCTGAATTTTCAAGTTTCGGGTGAGATCATGATAGATGGAGGAATAAGGAGCAGCAATACCATAAGCTTAGGGATGCCCAAGTCACCCCAAGGTAATATTCAAGGAAGACCCAAGCGTCTATGCTTGGGGATGCTCCGGATGGCATCCCCTCTTTCGTCCACAATTCATCGGTGTGTTATTGGAGATACATTTTTATTCGTCACATGATATGAGTTTTACATGAAGCGTGTTATCCCATAGTTTTCTTTTACTTGCTTATTAGTTTGCCACAACCATTGTTTGTTGGACACATGTTTTTAGAGGGACACGCATTCATTGTGATTTGTTAGAATACTCTATGTGTTTCACTCATATCTTTTGAGCTAGGCAGTTGCACTTATACTTCACTCATATTTGTTAGAGCATGGTGGTGGTTATATTTTATAGAAATGATTGCACTCTCATGCTTCACTTAAATATTTTGGACAGTATTAAATAAGAAGTGGTAATGAGAACGGGTTGTAAGACTAGTCAAAAAAGGATAGGTATTTAAGATTGATATAATAAAAACTTTCATGGTGATCACTAAATATGAAATGTATGTTTTAATTATATTGATTTTGTAATATGAAAGAGTATGAGTTCATGAGCATTGGTTAGTAAGAATATTGATATTACAGCTTGTTATTAACTACTCATTTAAGTGTCTAACATGGTATGGTGGGGATGCTTGAAATTTTTTATGTCCGAAATGAATTCCTTGAGTGTTGTTATAACCAGAGGGTGCGTGATGGTTAACTCCTATGAAACTCCTCCCTAGGGGCGTGCGATTAGTATTTTTCTTCGGGGGCTAATAAACATTTGTAATAAGTATCACTACAGGAATCAGGCACTTTGCCGTCCGCCATGGCGGACGGCAAAGGCATACCTGGCTGACGGCAAAGGCCTTTGCCGTCCGTCAGCGGACGGCAACAGGTCCCACTGAATAGGCTACGATGAAGGCTTTTTTGCCGTCAGCTGGCGGACGACAAAGATGAAATGGTCTTTGCCGTCAGCCGACTGACGGCAAATGTCCTGGATGGCACACGTGGCAGCTTACGGCCGTTAGGGGGCTAACAGTGCACTTTGCCGTCCGCTGGCAGACGACAAAGACCATTGCACCTTTGTCATCAGCCAGCCGACGGCAAAGTAACCAAATAGGCCAGCCCCCAGCCCCCAGGTTGCATAGGTAGATGCCACGTGGCATCTTTGCCGTCTGGCTGATGGCAAAGCTCTTTGCCGTCCGCCAACTGCCCACAAAGAACCTGTATAGCCCCTGTTTTCTCTGTTTTCTCTTAAATTCATTCAATTTGAACACACGAGTTTCAACACACAAGTTTCAACGCACATATTTCAGAGAAGACATATCCAACACACAAGTTTCATCATATATAGATACATAACCAACACATAGTTCCATCCATAGATATTACAAAAGTTTCACATTGTTCATCCAACACCGTTATCCATCCATCCATATAACAAGTTCCATCCATGCAAGTTCATCGATACAAAATAAAAGCAGAAAGGGAAAAGAAGCAGTCCATCCATGCAAGCTTCCATGAATTAGATGAAATCTGCAAAATGGGAAACAAGAAAGTTAGAAGAAGACTAGAAGAAGAAGAAGAAGAAAATGAAGAAGAAGAAGACTAGAAGAAGAAGTAAGCGTACTTAGGTAAAATGGAGCTAACCTAGCTAATTATGCCATCTTTGAGTGAACTAAGCATATTATGCCATTTTTGATATGAAGCAACTAAGTATAGGTCTTTATTGAGCTAACCTGGGTAACTAAGCATATTAGAGCTAACTTAGAGCTAACTTAGGTCATTTTAGAGAAGAAGAAGAAGAAGAAGAAGAAAAAGAAGAAGAAAAGAAGAAGAAGAAGAAGACTAGAAGAAGAAGAAGAAGAAGGTTTTTACCCTTTTCCTCCTCATTCTTCTTCTTTTATTATTTCTTTTTCTTCTCTTTCTTCTTCTATTCTTTCTTTTTCTCCTCTTCCTTGTGTTTCTTCTTCTTATTCCTTATTTGTGTCATTTTAGAGCTTACATAGGTAATTATGTCATTTTTAGGCAACTAAGCTTATTATGTCAATTTGTAGGAAAATAAGGTAAGTATAGTTCATTTTTGTGCTAACATAAGTAATTTGGGAGCTAACCTAGCTAAAATGGACCATATTGGAGCTAACCTAGGTAAACTTGGTCATTTTGGAGCTAACCTAGGTAAAATGGGTCATATTGGAGCTAACCTAGGTTAAATGGGTAATTTTGGAGCTAACTTAACTAATTATGCCATTTTTTACACAAGTAAGCCAAGTGTATGTCATTATTGAGCAAACCTAGGAAACTAAGCATATTAGAGATAACTTAGCATATTAGAGCTAACTTATGTCATTTCGGAGGAAACAAAGCTAAGTATATATAGATCATTTTGGAGATCTGGCATACCTGACATAGTTCACTCCTCCTCCTCCTTCTTCTTCTCCTTCTCCTTCCTCATCCTGATGCGCCAAGAGCGGCAAGGCGGTGGAGGCAGTGGGATGTAGTCTTCTAGCACAATTGGCATGGTCATGCCCCCCGGCTGTGGGATCGCCGGCGCCACCACCATCGCGAGGTCATTGTCAGGCACCACCACCATTGCGAGGCCATCTTCAGACATCACCATCGCTAGGTGATCCTCAGCCACCACCATCTCTTGCCCATCATTAGCCACCACCATCGCTAGGTCACTGTCAGGCACCACCATCTGTTGCCCATCGTCAGCCTGCACATCCTCATCCCCACTCTGCTCCTCTTCTTCCCCACTCCATTCCAGATCATCCTTGTTGCTGCTTTTGCTGCAGCCAGAGTCCCTGCTGCTTTGGCTGTAGACAGAGCCGCTGTTGTTGCTCCCATTGCCTGACCAAATGTAACAGTGACCGTTAACAATCCATGTGAGACAAAGCCAAATATAGAGGAAGAAGAGTCAGAACATACTGGCATCATCGTTGTCCTGGTAGTGCATGCGACACATAGTCGTGTTGAACACCTTCACGGTGAGCATGGCATCGCCGTCATACCTGAAGAGAAGGAAGTACCCCTGCTGCAAGTCATAGGCACGGTAGAACTGCTCCCAGCCATGACATAGGTACATGAGGCCATCCCTGATCACCAACTCCACGTCCCAATGCATGCGAAGCCCGCTGCCGGCCTGTCACAGCTTCACATTCTTTGGCCGGTGGCCTTCCAGCATCTTCATAAAAGTGTCAGGCAGCCTCTGCAGTTTGGGACAGGGAGTGATGTAGCAAACAGCAAAGTTATCATAGAGATGGGTGAAGGGGAAATCTCTCCTTTTATATACCTGCCTCCTAGAGGAAGTCCCAAGTATGATACTGAAGAACTTGAAAGCATCCAACTCATACTCCGGTGTGGCAGAGCGGAGCCTGCGGCGGCGGCTTCCC